GTGCAAGCGATGGGGGGGAGGTGGCGAGATCAGCGATGACAGGAACACAAGGCACCATAAAAGCTGGAGAGCAGACCTTCGCTAACATGCGTGCTCCATCAGGGATCGCCTCAGTCACCCTCACACAGAGAGGCCCCATGTTCTTGTACGCCACGTAAAGCTAGCGAGCCTTAGAATAAAATCTGTTCGGTCCCACTCTGAGGGAAAAGACGCAGCATTTTTGAGGTCAGTATAACGATCTCCACCACAGCTCCCAGACAAATCTGCACATCCCCGAGAGCCTCTACAGCACCTCATCTAAGCCGGAAAACGGAAAGCAGATCTGCTCCATAGCAGGATACCCCACAGGCCAAAGAAGCGGGGCAGTAACTGGTTAAAAATCAAGTCTATTTTTAATGAGAAACAGATTCTGGCTGTAGTGCAATTTGTACGTCTGACAGCACTAAGTCGTAGTAAGTGGTAGAAAGAAAGCTGACAGATAAAAACAGTCCCTTTCCTTTATTATGGGGGTGGAACATTTGTCATGTCATGCAGAGGAATAAACTGTGGTTCTGTTTGACTTATTTTTGGGAGGAAAGCATCAGTTGCTTCCATTTTTCAACCTTTCCACAGCCATTCCAGGACTTCCGTTCTGCTGCTAGCAGTGTTTTTGTAGCTCCTAGGCTAAAGCCACCTTCATTCCGGTCACATACGCGGACAGCTTATTGAATTCGGGAATCTCCTGGGTCCCCTTGTAGTTATGAGGAGATCTGAGGGGGCGCAGAGGTTCTAGGGGGCCACTATGGGCCCTTCCTCATCTCCTCTCTTGGCCTCGAGGCTGCATGTAACTGAAATGTGGAACTAATCAGAGAGTGTGAGGCAGAAAGAGACAAGGAACGTTAAATCGTAGCAGATTTCTTGACTCGAATATGGCTGCAGCCCTTTGAACTGGGTGGGTGGAGCTGTGGGAGGCGGGTACGGAATAGGACCGCTGTCCTTGTCTTTGAGGGCATCACAACCCTGAGGGACCCCAAACTACTGCCTCCTAATATTTACAGGGTCAACAGGACATTAGTGTAAGAGCGGCCTGTCTGGGTTTAAGGGGCCCCACACCTGGGTATGTCAGATTGGTCAGCCCCCAGGAGCTGACTGGCTGCTGCTCTGGCAGTGAACAAGAACCTTCCGGAAGATACCATCGCCTGGCCGCAGGGGTGGAAAAAAGAGATGTACAAAGATGTGAAAATAAATGACACACTGCCCCTTTGTGTGAGGGGCTGGGGAAGTGCTGCAAATTAGTGCGGGGGGTGATGGGAGATGGTTTTACGGACTGGCCAATTCTCAGTGACCCCCCCAACCCCCCCCCCCCCCCCCCGTGACTTCTCCTGGGGGAGGGGCTGGATGGGGTGGACGAGACTGAGTCGAGAGACAAAATGATCCCTGGCTGCCCCCGAAAGCAAGGCCTAAGCTTTCCAAGGGCCGAGATTCATGTCTGATCGGTCTTTGCGAATCTGTGGGGCTTCTGCTCTGCCAGAAACAAGGGAAAAAAAAGGACATGACGATGTGGGTGGGGGGGAAGCCGTGACCCAGATTCCCCCAGCACTACCAGAAATGGAGAGCAGTAGGAGAGTGTCGGCCGCCCTCGCTCGTTCCTCTGCTTGCTCACTTCCTGAGTGCCGCTCTTACTGTTTACAAACCCAGACCGGGGTCCCTTGGGCGGCCTGGCTATTACAGAAGCCCTCGATCGCCACCCCGTCCTTTCTTCTCTTCCCTCGCTCTTTCTCTCTTTTGCTTTCGTCTTAGGATTTCAGGAGTCTCAGGCAGGGCCGACCGAGTCACTCCGTCTTTCCAAAGTCTGCAGAGTCACTCAAATTCCGCCGGCCCCTCACACAACTCTACTCACAGTGAGCCAGACGACAAGAGCTGTCTCAGGAAAACAGTGGCTGGGAAGCCTCCCAGTGGCATTTATGTATTATTGCTTAAAAATACTTCCGTAAAAATACCAATGCATTTCTAAAAATTTCTTTATGTCGAGTGGTGGGAACCAATCAGAGAGAAGCACTTGAAAAAATACACATGAATCCAGTATTTCATTTCACAATGGATGAATGAAAAATCAATGTTACTAAGCTCTGCTTGTTAAATATGTGAGAACTGGGTATGGATCCACACTCTGTACCGGGGTCCCATTACGTCAGGATGAGGGTACCGACCTTCTCCGCCAGGAGCTCCCGTATCCTGCTGGCCTGCACCCGGAACTTCAGCAGCTGTGTCTCCAGAGCGATGCACCTCTCCTTCCAGTCGGCCTGGGCCCCGTGTCCCTCGCACTCGGCCATGCCGCCCCTCCCCTGTGACGGTACAGTACACACCGGCTGTGAGCGCGCCCGGTTGAACGGCCTTTCACATGGCCTGCTTGCATCCAGCAGGAGGTTCTAGGTAGATCAATGCTATGAGCTCAGTTTCACAAAGTAGGCAAGACTATATAATGGAGGAGCTGACTGTCCTCTGTTTCCTTTTCTGGATTTTTGAACTTGAAATGAGCTTTGCCAGTTTGTTCAATTATTACCATCAGGACCACATTACAGAGTGCCTCTGGCCAGGAAGGAAAGTAATTCATTCCCTCTGCCATTAGTATCTTAAATGCGTCAGAATGAGTTTTCTTATTGCCTATGTGATTTCTATTGGTCGTTTTCCTTATCTGTTGTTGTCTGATGTTGTAATGTATGTGCCATGCCTATGAGGAATTTCTGTTGCTTTGTAATAGATGTCTTGACTTGATTAACCTGATGGGTCACGGTTTTGCTCCCTCCAAACTCCATAGACAGGGCGGAGAGCTTGGAGAGAGCAAAAACATGGACCCGACTGTGAGCCCCCGGGGACTGGATTGGGATACAGCTCCCTCCCAGACACTCCACATTTTTGCTTTCTCCCTGGAGCTGGGGGTCCGTAGACTGTTTGGGGGTCCCTGATGATCAGGTTGACAAACACTGAGATAGAGGACAAGGAGTAATGGAGACTTTTATACTTCAGCAACCTTTCATTACAGCCTTCTACATGAAAGGAGCCCAAATATCTAGAGTGTAATTAAACATTTTCCTATAACAGTTTTTGTAGTATTTAAGTAGAAGTAAAAACCAGAATATTTGCATAAATCTCTTGTGTGACAGCGATGAAATGTGCCTGAAGATGCCATGGATCAGTGCTGCGGTGAAACTCAGCTGTTTCCTTACGTTAGAACCATAAAATCGGCTGGTCATTGTTATATTTTCGAACCTGTTCATATACTGATCTTCCCTCCCAGAATCCTTTGCGGGTGGTTCCCTGTGTGCTATCTCTCCACTGTCACTTCCTGCTAGAGCTATGTCACCGTTCTCTCACTCCGTCATTCTCCTGGAGGCCAGAGGCAAGTGCAGATCTTCCAGAAGGAACTGTCAGGATGATAAGAGTTCAGCCAAATCCTTAAATGCTCGGGCCGACAAACCAACTCTCTCTATGTTCTTTGAGCTGGGAACCACCGCTGTTCTTAAAATAGCACATCTCCGGTTCCCCCTCCTCCACCCGGCAGGAGAAGCACGGCACCCATCACCTCCTATCCCTCCCTCCATCTTTCCTCTGCTGCGTGTGCGGAGGGAGTCATGCTACACAGAACATCAAAGCATGTGGCTGCTCTTCTATCTTAGTCTGCTTCCTGTGAGGATAGTCAGATCTCCTGACACCCACCCAAGCTGGAGAAGATGTTCAACATCCACATGTCATCACAGTATGGCAGATCACACTGCCATTTTTACAGACAATAACAGTACAGACCGCTTGTATGTATGTGTGTGTGTGTGTGTGTGTGTGTGTGTATATATATATATATATATATATATATAACTTTTGTAAAATAAATCTAGTTACGCTGCATTAGAAAATGCTGTAACTTCATTAAACTTACAGACAACTAATTTATGTAACCTAAAGTAAGTAATGGATCGGTTTAGTTTTACATACTAGTACGACTACTATTCAAAACATAGATCACATAACAATTCATTACAGAGGATTCAGCTGTATACCGAACCAAAATGAATAATTTGGTTAAATTAATAGTACCACATGGAACATATTATGTAGGCTACTGTAAAGCAAATTAAAACCGCCAAACACGTCTAAATAAGAGGAACGGTACGTTAACTGTGAACGATTTTAACAGGAGATTAACAAATTATATTAATTCAACAAAGTCTAACGGGTTTTCTTTGAAATATTGTTTCAAAAAGCGTAAAGTGAAAATACTGATCTGACCTATAACTGTATGACAGTATGATTATATAAGAAAAATTAGCTTTTCTTTAGTAGAAGATCGTCTATATAATTTTCGCATCGACGTAACAAAGTAAATGATTTTCAAATATGAACTGCAGTAATGGATGGATGGACTTTCCCACCGTGTGCCCCCCCCCCCAAAAAAAATACAAAAGTTTTTGTAAGTCCCTACGACTTGTTTTTGTATTGAGTACTGGTTGATGTCAAATACTTACTGGAAATAATACACATCGCAGTACAAATTAAAAGAACATATATTAATTTCTTCCTAATTAAACGAAAAAACAAAGTAATCGAAAAAATAATAAAATAAAAAAAATCTTACCCAACAAACGGCAGAGAAAATGACTGGAAGTCAGAACGGAGCCTATTCGGTGTCAGCAATTCCCTCCATGTTTCCGTTATATTAATTCATTGCAGAATAAAATCAAGGAATTTCGGGGCTTTTCCCGAAATTTTCTGATTTCCAGCGTATACCCAAGTTAGTTACGGGGGCGTGGAAACAAACTGAATGGGCGTGGCTAGACAGTGGTCCGTCCTCTCATGGGGGGGCGGGAAAAACTACCATAACCATGCTGATTTGTCTACGGAAAAGGCCAACGTTGATAGGCATCTCTGTTCACGTATAGAAAGGCCTGGACGGTGTGCGGACAGCCCTACTACCCAATAAGAACGTTTTAAGGCGGATTCTAATATTATCCGGAATTGACGTTCCACACGTGTATTTTAAGGGGGAATAGCAAAAATTATGATTCGCGGTTAACTTACTTAATTGTGCCTATTCGGGTTATTAACGTGAATAGAAAGTGTCGTCTTCGGTGCACACTTGCTTCGATTGAAATAGCCTTAAATTAGGTGAGTCCACATGTCATACCTACATTTTTAAATTGTTTTTCCACTCAGATTTTGCCGGTCTGTGAGCTAACATGCTATACATGTATATAACTGTAACACCTCAGGTATAACTCCGTTATCTTTCTTGTAACCAAAGCAGAAGTAAGTGAAATAGCGCAGTTTTTACTCACTTCAAAAAGACTAATTTCAAGTTTTGTAACCTTGTGATCCGCATTTTTTCCTGCTGCTGAATGCATGTTATGCTGATTTATCCAGTCTGTCAACGTGTAGAATGGTTATTCCACAGCGTTTTATTTCCATTCAGAACCGCTAGCATCTCAAAACGACATAAACGTGGAACGCGAAGCAGGTTTTGCAGTATAGACGCCGTAATTACTATATAATGACATGAGTTGCATAAGCTTTATTTGTCATTACCCAGTTGCAGTTTTGGCGATAGCTGTTGTCTTCTTAACTACGATCACCGATGGTTACTCAGCTGTGATTTTCTTCTGACTTCACTCACGGCAGTACACCGAATATTTTGGCCCAGCCATGGTAGTGAGGAAGAAGGTTTCGAAGGTGGAAGCCGTTTCCTTGGATTGTACTAAGCTGGAGATCCTAAAGGGTAAGGTATACCGCTAACTGTCATTCACAGAAGCTTTGGTCGTGTGGCACGGTTGTTTTGGTTTGTTGACCGGATGTCCAGACTTCTTATTTTGTGTACTCCCCCAGTTTGACGTCTGCTTAAGTGTATGTTAGCGTTCGAGTCCATTTATACATAAGTATGTGTGCCCATAAATCCCTCTTTATCAGTTCTTGGTATTTAATCCCCCATTGCAGAATCTCTTTCCGTGGATGGAGAAGGTGAGGCTTATCTACTTGCTCAGACCCTGCGGGATTCCCTCTGCCAGACTGACCCGGTCCAGCAGATACAGCTGGTTAAGAAGGTAGGTGAGGTGTCACTTGATAGCCTGGCTCCCTGTCCCATTTTCAAACTTCGGTGTATTGCCGAATGCAATCACGCATGCTGCAGGGTGACAGAGTTGTGAACCTTGCATTATAGACCAGTTTGAGTGTTGTTGACAGTCTGTACACAGCAGTGTAGGGGTAGACAGTAGTAACTGGTTTTGGGATGTACATTGGTTGGGATTATTGTATATCGATAATTTTTATTGGTTACTGTATTGGTGCTTGGCTTTTAAATCAGGCAGTGTCAGTCCTGCCCTTGGCTAGTTGTAAAGTGGTTGTGTTATGATGTCATTAAGTGGCTGCCTGATCTTATGCTCCATTTAGCTTGGAGTTCTGAAGTCACAGAAGGGGAGTGACATCACACCCGAGTTAACCATGTTCCATAACAAGTCGGAAAGCTATTTAACATTACCAGTTCTATCCAGGTTTGTTGTTAGCCATTGTTAGCAATATCAGTTGATGATGATGATGATGATGCATTACACAGCATTTGGCGCATGCATACACTGTAGCAACACATCCACAGATAGCGTTTGGACAGTACTGTGTGTGTGACCGATTTAGTGAGCAGCAAATACATACATGCTAATAATCAGTATATACCTACAGTTTTCACTTCTTTTGATGAAGGTTGCAGCTATCTTGAATTCTGAGCTTGGGGTTGTAGAGCAGGGTTTCTGCGGGGTCTTGAAAAGCCTTAAAGTCTAAAATTCAGAAAGTTAAATTTAACGCCTTAAAATGTCTTAAAAGTTCCCAGATTTTCATCCTAGGTCTTAAATTTAATTTACCCAAGTCTTAAAATTCTTACCTCTGTTTATTCCCAAGAAGCATTGTCCACAGAAAATAGTAAAACGGTGTAGAACTAATCCTTTGGTTGTGTTGTCTGGTCTGCACCGGTGTCTGCTTGGTGATAAAACTACAAATCCCATTGCGTGATCACTGCAGCTAGGCAAACAAAAAGTTTGAGAAGGGTCTGGCTGCAGAACGTGCACTTTCAGCCATTGACATCAGGTGCACGCTCAGCTACAACCCCTCGGTAACCTCCTGTGGAATCCCCATGTCCTCAGCTGTTTCCAGTTGATTTCATTAGTCCAATGAAATCTGTCTGTGCTGCTTCTCCGCCGAAAGGCGTGACACAGTAAATGTACAGCTAAAAATCAGACACAGTTAGAGGTTTTATATTATATCACAATGTTTTTATTGGTTTGTTTTGTTTAGTTTTTTTAGGCTGGTATCTCTTATCTGAAAAAAATAAACGTTTGATTCCTGGTGTTGTGTCCAAAGTTCTTTTTTTTTTTTTTCTCTCCAGCTTTTATTAAACAGTTTGGTACCTCATGGCATATGTAAAGTGTATTACGTATTACAGTTCTGATATATGATTATTAATAACCCAGAATTGTACTATTTTTTTAAATTCCATTTTGCTCTTTATTCTCACACACACATAAATACACGGTATGTATAGTGATCCCCCGACTATTGCGGAAGATGAGTTCCATACCCATCAGAGATAGGTGAAAATCCACAATATAGAAAGACCATATAAATAAACTTTTGTAGCTTCAGCCTAAAAATACCCCTCCCACGTGCTTTAAACATGTGTAAACTTATTAAAACGCACTTTATAAACATATATGATATGTGGATGTTGGGCTAAGGATATGAATGACATAAAATATGAGAATTTCTGGTATCATTTGAATGTTTCTAGTAATGTATCGTGTTGGTCTTTAAATTTTACTTATAATGGTCCTAAAAAGGTCTTAAATTTTACTTACTGAAACCTGCAAGAACCCTGTAGAGGTTCCTCTGACTGTCTGAGTCGGAATTCCAACTCCAGTGGGTGTTCCAGTTGAAATTTCCAGCTAGTAACTTGGAAATTCTTACTTCCCAGTTGAAATGGAATGCATCATTGGTGGTGCTGTTTTGATTCCACCCCCCCCCCCCCCTTCAGGCTGGGACCCTACTGGAGCAGCTGAGAGAGGACTCCCCTCCCCCAGACTCCCTGCTCCATGCCTGTCTGGAGACGCTCTCTGTCATGTACACCTCCCTGCAGAATAAGAACCCCCTGAAGAGAGCGGTCGCTAGGTAGGGGTTCCACGCCCTAAATCTCTGCATCTCTTCTTCTGCTGGAGCCTCGTGCATCATTTGTTTTTCTTTGTCCGTGTCCTGTCCACAGTGCGCTGAGCTCAGTGCCAGTTTGGCTCCAGGAGGGGTCTGTTGGCAGCCTGTCCGTGTGTCTGTCAGACAGTCTGTCCACCCTGGGCCCAGATCAGTACCCCCACCTCACTGACTGCATCGCTTCCTTCTTGGACGGCTTCCCCATTGGTTCGTTCCCTACTTCGCTTTAGTGTTTGGAGTGCGGCACATGTGACCTTTACTGCGATTGTATTTGAGTCTGTGCATCTTCCTGGTTTATTGTGTTCACTGGGAATCAAAGCAGCTTTACTAACACCACTATGAAACATAATCAGAAGTAATGTTGCTCGAAGTTCAAACTGAAATGTTTCAAAGGGTAATTACATTGATTCTTTTCTGGCTGTAACATTACACCCAGCTCTGCTTGTTAATTGTAAATGTTGTGGGTGTGACACACTGTCCCCTGTCCAACAGGTGAGCGCTGTATTCACAGACTCCTAACAGAGGGTGAGTTTACCTTGGGGCTGATATCTCCTAAGATGGCAATTGCTAACACAATGGAGTTTCTGTGAATTGCTCATGGGGTGCCCCCCCCCCCCCCATTTTCTCTCTGTTTCCAGTGCTGCAGTTCCTCCAAAAGGCATTGGCGGAATACCTCCAAACAAACAGGTGAACCTTGAGCGACCCCTGGGGCTTGGTGTTGTGGGTGTTGATGGACCATAGCTGCAGCAAGGGCGCATGCTTCCATTCCCGAGAGCATTTAAGTGTCAGCACTGTGGGATGCAAGAGTATAGTCATGAACTCCCACTAATCTCTATTCTTGGTACTGAGTGGTCCTTGAACCAACAACCTTCTGGAACAGGTATTGTTTTAGATGTCTATTTTTATAAAAACAGGATATTCATATTTAGTTACATTCTCTGTCCCTAGTGGCCTGACTGGTCAGCATGTTGCTCAGGCCCAGCTCATGCAGTCTACCCTGGCTGCGGTTAAGGCCTCCATGTTGGTGGTACAGAGGTCACAGGAGTTCATTGGCATTGCTGTGCAGGAAGCCCAGGCACAGCGCCCCCTCCTGGATGCCCTGTGCGAGCTGCTGCATTGCCATTCGCGAATCCTCACTGATGGTAAGTGAGCCTGCCTGCTCCCAGAGTTGGACATGTGGTATTTTTGATACTTTAATCCTCCGTTTTTTTGCTCCGTTAGAGGAGTTCGTGCAGGCGGTCCAGAGCACGGCAGGGATGGCGGTTGTCCTGCTGACCCGGAGCATGCTGGGAAATGCCGAGCAGGTGGCCGAAGTGGTGAGTGCGGGTGGGGATGGGTTGAGTCACAAGAGCTGATTCTGCTTTTGTTCCTTGCTGCTCTGCTCTGAGCTAAACCTCTCAGAAGGCAACTAATAAGCTGTTGAACATTGTTCCATGTTCTTAGTAATCCTGGGAAGATGTTGGGCTAAGCTTCACCTAGGTAGTATGGAAAAGTATGGAATTTCACTGTGGTATTTTCCAAGTCTGGATAAGTATGGGGAAAAAACTATAGCGATATTTTGGTATTTCCAGACTATTGCAACAAATTGGTGTACTATGTATTATATACAAATATCTGTATTTACTTATGATTGTTTTTGATGGAAATCACCAATATGAGCTGGTTGTCAGTGCCAGAATGTGCTTTACACATCGAAGAGCAACGTCCCAGACTAAGGAGCGGAGGTGTCTCTGTGGGCTGCACGCTTGATTAAACTCCAGCAAGGGATATTGATTTAGGCTGCCTTGCAATTAACGATGCTTGCACTGGGAAAATGCAAGTTCTCACCTACTTGGTGCAAATCCAAAATACTGTAACTGTTTGGCTAAGGATCCCAAATGTGAACAGAAAGAAAAATGTGTAAATGTATGTGTAAAGTTGTGTGAACCAACTGACGGAAGTGTGTGTTTCTAGTTAGCTGATATGTTGCTGCTCCCAGAAGAAGGTGACGCTGCCCCCATGTGGCTGAAAGAAAGCTGTGCAGGGCTGTACCAGACGGGGCGCCCAGCGGCAGTGTCTCTCTACCTGTGTCACGGAGCCCTGGCCATGCTGACCTGGCAGGGCGGGCTGTTGGGCCCCCAGATGGAAAGGCTCCTGCTGCTGCTCCCCCCAACGCTGCTGGCTCTGGACACCAGGTCCGCAGGCCTCGCTTCGCCTCTCCAGCTCCCACAGACTTTGTAGACACGTTCTCCAACCACTGATGGTTTTTGTATTAATATTTTTCACTCCTTTTATATGGAAGTCAGGGATATATTGTTTTTTTTCTTTCACTCCAGTGTGAAGGAGTCCAGCACAGCGATGGTAGTGGCCCGTGTGTTGGCGCTGTGGAGCGGCGCTGCACTGGACAGCCTGCAGGGGGAGCCACGTTCCCCTGTCCTACAGGAGGCCTTACAAGGGGAGGCGGAGCTCCCAGGCCGCCTGCGGGAACACGTTTACTCCCACTGGGAGCACCCGCTGGACGGAGTGCGGCACCAGACCCGGAATCTCTTCCGGAATCTGCTCCGGATGCACCAGCTCTGCACGGGTGCTGCCAACCTGACCTCTGACCCCTTCGTGGTGCGGCTGACCCAGAGCCTGCTGGGATTGGAATGGCACAGCCGGGGGAAGTACGGCTCGCTAGGCTGCCTTGTGGAGCACCTGGGGGCTGAGCACCTCCTGGCCCTGGAGCCCACGCTGCCTGCTCTCCTGCTCTCCCTAATGGGTGACCAGACCCTGGCGCCCTATGCCAGCGACCTCCTGGAGAAGCTGTTCGTCAGCCACCGGGCAGAGCTCAGCTTGCGGGAGGAGGCGGGGCCGGCCTGGATGGACTGCTGGCACCGCACCTGGGTGGAGCCCCTGCTGGAGATTTTGTGCCAAGCCAGGCTGGATCAGACCACCTACATCCTTGACTACTTCCTGCCCAGGCTTCTGCGATGCAGTCCAGCCAGCCTGGGTCACATGGTTCAGGCGCTGCTGGACACCCCTGTCTGTGTGAAAGGTTACCCCCATCTTAGATACTCATGATAACTGTTTTTATGGTTCAGATTTATGATTAATAATTCATAGGCTACCGGGTCCCCCAGGACCCTGAATAGGCCAAGCCGGTACAGGGGATGGATGGATGGATGGATGGATGGATGGATGGATGACTGACTTAATTCCATTACACACTGCCCGGCCAAAAAATTCACTGTTTGAATTTAAATCAGCAAGTACTGACGAGCCAATGAATGGATCATTATTTTAGCTCAATGTTATGCAGCAGCAAAGTGAAGTCAGCTGAGATCCTGAACCTACTGAATGGTCAGATTATCCCATCAATGGATTTTTTTCTTAACTAATGTCATGGGCATCATCCAGGATAATGCCAAGATCCATCGGCCTTGAATTGTCAGAGTGGTTCAGGGAGCATGAGGAATCGTTTTCACACATGAATTGGCCACCATAGAGTCTTGACTTTAACGCCATTGGAAGTCTTTGAGATATGCTGAAGACTTTACAGAGTGGTTCAGCTCACCTATCATCAATACAAGATCTTGACGAGAAATGAATGCAGATCCGGACAGAAAAATGCTGAGATGTTGCTTAAGCACATGGAAACAGTGCAGATGTGCACCTTGATCAAGGCTAAAGGCGGTCCAATGAAATATTAAAGTGTGTGACTTGTTTTTTTTTTTTTTTTGGCCTGGCAGTGTATACTGATAAATTGAATAGCATAATAAATATATAGTCTTAATGAATAATTAAGTTAAAAGTCATAGTAAATATTGCATTAATTTTTCCTAAAGTTATGAAGTGATCTTCATTGTCATACCGCTATATACAATTCACAGTCGCCCGTGGCACCAAATAATGTCCCCCAAGACCACAGTGCAGAGACTGTAAACAAGACAAGCGCAACACATGAGCGAGAGGGGGGGGGGAAAAGGAAAATAACTAATAAATCTAAATAATAGAGAATATTCTTTCATTAACACACAGGGGAGCTAGGGGTACCCACACGATAAAAAATGACTTTTACTTCTGTCTGTCTGCCTTTTTGTGTAGGTTCCTATGGCAGCCGGGGGGCGCTGGGGGCTTTGATGACCTGCTTGCGGGCTGCCAGGGCCCAGGGGGTACTCCGGCCCGCAGAGGAGAGGCTCTGGGAAGGGATGGTGCCCCTGCCTCTGCTTCGCCAAGCGGTGGTGCACAAACATGACCAGGTGACCCTGTGATCTCTGTCCGTCGTGCTCAGTTGTGTAACTGGTGCAGAACTAGCAGTCTGTTTAGCAAAAGTTAAGGTTTTATTGAGCATGGGAATTCCACGCAATTCCATGTGAGCCCTGTATCCGTGTGGCGTTCCGTTTGCCGGGACAGGTACGGATGGATGCCCTGGGCTTGCTGTGCGAGAGCCACCGCAGCACAGAGATTCTTTCTGCTCCCGAGATGGACCTCATCCGCCACTTCCTGCCCCACAACCTCAACAGCCAGTCCCCCGGCGTCAGGCAGCAGACAGTCAGCCTGTTCAAGAAGGTCAGTGCCCCATGTTGCCATCTGCTGGCCAACTCTGATTAGTGCAGCCTTGGATCCGTCATTGCTGATTACCTGCACTATGGTGGGTTCTGATTGGCCGCTGTTTTTCTCTGTGCTTGCAGCTCCTGTGCAGAATGAAGGACAGTGCCCAGCTGGTGCAGAAGAGGACAGCACAGAGCCAGGGGGATGGTGACACGCTGGGTGCTTACCAGGTATATGGTGGTTCCCCTAAATCTGGGAAGATATGGAATGCTGGGGGGGGGGGGACGGAGATATATCCAGATCCCTTGTCCCTGGCTGGGGGGGGGGGACACTGCTGCATGCTAGAGATGGTATCTGGCCTTGAGTTCCTTCTTTGAATAACTGGGACTTATTACAGCCCAGGACAAGCTCTCATATCATGGTAAAAGCTTTGCTTAACATCTTCATTCAGTGATGGTGATCTGTGTCTTCGTAGGCTTTCCTGCACTGGCTGTGTGAAACCCTCTTCCAGGCTCTCCACGTCGGGGCTTCCTTCTCCTCCGCCCTGATGGCCCTTCAGCTCCTGGGCTTGGTGGCGGAGTTCTTTACCTTCTCCTCAGGTACCTTCACTCTGACTTCTTGGAGGCGGTGGCTGGAAGTAACTCTGCTTTGGTCACCTGAGTATCCCATGCTATAGTTCTTGCTGCTAGATCAGCCTGATTTCAGTAGTATGTATCTATGCTGTAGAGGAGCAGCTGGCGTAAGTAGAAGGTACCTTCAGGGTCCGGGAAGAGCCCTGATTTGCATGGGTGCTTGCATACCTTAGTGGGACCAGGTTCAGGTAGACCATGGCACTCTTCCTGATTTGCTATTAGGCTCGCGATTGTGTTATGTGTCAGCTGATAACCTACTGTAGCTAGAATGTGCCGGTATCTCTTTCCCAGAGTCTGGTGGGTTTGCCTTGGGTCGGTCTGTGAGCCACGCCCACGCTCAGGCCGTCCTCCGCTGCCTCGCCAGCAACTTCCTGGAGGTCAAGCAGCTGGCCTCGGCGTTGCTACAGAAACTGCCCGCCTCGGCAGTGGGCCTGACGGTCAGGGTGATTCAAATGGTCTTGGACCATTGTGCATGTACTCTACTTCATGGTTGAGTTAAAATATATATAGTTTCATTTCAGTGTGGTATGGTAATTATCTACCCCCACTGTCTCTCACTGTCCCCCCCCCCCAGGAGCCACACAGAATGCGCATGCTCCTTCGGGTCGCCCTGGACCTCAGCACCAGCACCAAACCCTTCGACAGCGTCACTGCTGCCCATTTGATCAACCACATGGTTCATCTGGAGGGCATGCAGGAGGCCCTGGTGCACTGTGCCCAGGAGCAGGGCCTCTCCACCCCGCCGCCTTCTGCAGATGGTCCCCAGGCTTCAGCGGCCTCCATCCTGGAGAGGAACACCCTCGCAGGTGTGATATTTGTCACTCTGACTGGGCATATGGAGTTTTCCTTCAGGGCAGTGTTTCGGTGTATATGCACTCTCAGTGTGCAGCCAGTTTATATTTTCCGTGTGCGCATGAAGTGATGTGGATGCCTATGCATGAGGTGAAGTGATGTGAATTTCGTCATCAGGGGTTCGCTGCAGGCGGCTGTGGTGTAGCTCAGATTATGTCTATCAGAAATCATGCAGGTCCATGCGCATCGACTCCACATGTGCAAGATAATTGATTAGGTGATTCCAATAGGTGGCAGTGTGGACTTTTACAGATTAGCGGTCAACATCCAAGGAGTAGAGGAAGAGTTGTAGTTATGGTGAGCGGCTGCATGAGGAGGGTGGGAGGTACCCTCATATCTAAGTTTTCATTCTGTCCAGACATAATATCGAAGTATATAGTATTTTCCAAAGCAGCACTATTCCAGCATTTTGAAATCTTGGTGATAAAACTCACTGAGAGGGGGGTGGAATGTGTCGCAGCTAATTTGGTCATAATGATTTCAAAACACCGTAATACCACTCAAGCCTAGACTAATTACTTTTAAAACTATTCGTAAAAGTTTCCCCGTTTCACTACGCTGCTTGTATTTGTTTTGTTGCAATACATCTGCCTCCCGCTGGTGTGGTGGAATATCGCTGCTGTATGCTGCGCCTGCGACCAGCCACACCCGCAGCCACACCCGCAGCCACACCCGCAGCCACATCCGGGAGGAACACAAGCTGCTGTGCGGCTGACTGTCCGCAGCCCGAAAGCGCGTGGAATAGTATGGACCTTAGTGTTCTATGTGGGATGTGTGGTCAGAAATTCCCAGTCTGGGAAAACGACCATTGGTGATGGATGGAGAATCATCCAACTGCGTTTAGTATTTGTGGGGGGACCCCGGTAACGTGTCACAGGCAGCACAATGCAGAGCACCACCCTGGATGAATGCCAGTCTATCACAGGACACACACACACACACACACACTCTCATGTTGGTGTACCTATCTAAATGGGGAACGTCCATTCATTTCTATGGGGAAAAACCCTAATCCCAATCCTGACACCCTTCACCCCTACCCATCCCTAACCTTAACCATAAGTAACCAACCCAGATACAAGACTTTTGGCATTTTTACTTTTTTGATTGCATTCACAGATTTTTTTATAAAACTGAGGTTATCCAAATGGGGACCTCAAAAGATGTCCCCTAAAGTAGGGAAATTTCAGGTTTTACTACACTTTGGGGACAATTTGGTCCTCAAATGTGATCTATGCAAACACGCACACACGCACACACTCCCTCTCTATAGGTGTTAGCTAGATCTAACAATGTCTTTGGACTGTAGTAGAAACCGACTCAGAGCCTGAGTTTTAACGTTCAAAAGTGTCCTTGAATGTCTATCAAAGTTACATACATTTTACAATACAGCAATTATGGTGGTTTGCATCTTCAGAAACATCAGAATGGGGGCTATTATGAGCCAAGTTAAACTGAAACACTGCTGGTTCATTTCTTTTTAAGTTCTCTGCTCTTTCAGGGCATCGAACTGCCTGCGTGGAGCCCAGAGATGAAAGGAAGGACGGCTGTTTATTTGACAACAGGAAATATGACCGCGGTGGGGTTACAGGATCATTGAGAGGTGGCTATTCCGGGGGCTGGTTAATGGCGTCCCCCGACTGGGCCGACGTTCCCCGAAGTATCCGTGCACGCTCTTCTGCAGAGCGGGCCATTCCTCATGAAGCACAGATGTTAGATTTGGAGTGGTCTGACATTTTGGGAATATGTTGTAAATTAGAGACCGGTCTCTATTCAGGATGATTTGCTTTTCTGTAATGTCTGGAGGGTGTTTATATATGAGTTCTCACTGCACAAAGCGTTTGTTTCCATCAGCATTTAAAATTGACCGAGACACAGGTTAGATGGAGCTTGAGAGTAACATGGCCGTGGCGGGAAAACACAACCTTTTGTTTATAATCTGATATAGACGCCGCTTCACATCTGATATTTATTAGGTACAAAGAATATGCACAGCCATTAAGGAATGCTATAATCATAAAGGTCTGAGGGCTGGCATTCTAATAATCCCCCTCCCTTCTCGATTTGGTTGGGGGGCAGTGATGACTAGAAATGCACCCACCCCGCCTTTTTCAGTTTTGCCTGTGACTTTTAGAGTTGAAGCATTGGTCACAGCTCTGAATTGGAGATTGTGGTGAATCGCGATTGAGAGGGAGTGTGGCAGGGCAGGGCAGGACTGTGGTTGGAACTTATCAAATAGGTGAACACATCTTAGGAGTTTGAGGATCAGTTGCACAAACCTGTTGGATGCATGGGGTGTTGCTGATTGGCCAATAGTGTCATGTGACTGTGTCAGGGTGCTGGGCGAGCTTCTGAAATCTGCAGGGCTTCTCGTGCTGATGTCCTGCTACTTGCTGTAAAGTGGGCAAAGATGCTGTTGCCGTATCTGCTGTTTTTTGAGACCTTCCCCTCATTCTGTAGTGACTTTAGCATTTTGCAAGTTTACGCCTGCCTTGTGCCCTGTGCCCAGTGTACCTCTGCCCAAGTCTGAAGCAGCTGAAACATGGCTGGGTGGATCTATAGATACTAGTTAATTAAAGGAACATTCTGAAGAAATAATTACTATATGTTACATTCCAATTTGTAAGTTTTTTTTTTTTTTTTTTTTAAATTAAGTACAAAAAAAGTGAATACAACAAATTGGCATTAGTTTGTGTACAGAAAAAGTATTATAGTATGGAAGGCTCAACTTAATCAAACCAAATTAGATTCCATGCAAAGTGTATAACATAATATTTCAAGAAAGAGAATCAAGTATACAAATACGAAACAAAAACTAAATGAGGATAATAAAAGAAAGAAAAAAATAAAAATAATCACAGCAACTTATATAATACAAACAGATTAAACAACTTTACTGCCATTCCAATTTGTAAGTTGAGCAAAACAGTGATGGACAAATGACGTTTCATGAACCGTTTGCTCTATTTTCTGACCCCACTAGATGGTGCTCCTAGTTCAAAATAGGGCTCAAAGCATGTCCCCCAAAGCAAACCAAGAGCGCCATCTAGTGGTGTCAGAAAATACAGCAAGTGGTTCATGAAGCTTCATTTGGCCATTCCTACAAAACAGACATAACTTTTACCATTTAATAAATGCTTTCAATAAACAGGGGAGTCTGAACAGCTAATATCTAATAGTCAGGGCTCTGGCAGCTGCTGCCTCTTGTCCTCCTGGGGACATGCTGCAGTTGTGCATCTCTTTCGGTTTATACTGCAGTAACCGACATGGCCTGTCCCCCCCGCCACCCCCCCAGTGGTGTGGGTCTTGCTGCGCTGCTTGCAGGCAGAGGTGATCCAGGCCGAGTCGTCCCTGCTGCAGGCCGCTGCCTCCCACCCGCTGTACGGACGGGTGCACTGCATCACTGCCTCCCTGCAGCAGCTGGGCACTGGGTAAGTCTTCAGCCTGATGTCTGTCCTGAACTCTAGTGTCATAAATTCATACGCTGACTGAATCCTTATTGTGTTGACTATAAAACCGCACAATAACCTGTGTGCAGGTCTCTGGTCCTGATCGGCCAATGGAGGAGCTTGGTGGTGGAACTTATCGCCACATCCTACAGGATGTCCGACGTGGTGTCGCCCGTGGTTCAGAGCTCCTCCCCTGAAGGTCTCATCCCCATGGACCCAGAATCTGGTGAGCGTTAGCCAGGGTGCAGGGCGTGGAGATCGGGTGGCATGGGCTCACATGCTCAGAGGTTTGGGCTGGGCGACTCTCCGTCTGAAAGCATCTGTCATGTGACCTCTGCTCAGAAACTGCGGCCGACTTGCAGCGGATCCTGGAGGAGATCCAGCCACGGGACTCCAACCACTTCTTTGCTGGAGCCCGGGAACTGGACTCACAGAGTGGCACCGGCACCATAGCACCTGCCACTCCAGTGCCCGAGGTGGATGGCACAGGTCAGATTCTCCTGCATGCCCCTGGGCACATAATAGTACCTGCTGTGCTTTTCACTGCAGTTATCCATTTAATCACTAGGGGGCACTGTTTCCTTACTTTTCCAAGTGCTGTTTTGAGCCCTACTGCTCTGAAAAAGGATTTGACCTTACTCATTGGGTTTCTTTAGACTCTTTGGTGCCCTCTGCTCCTCAGTCTTAGTATAACAGCTGGTATTTTAACAGGAGACAAAAATGACATCGCAGTCAAAGCAAACTGCACATGATTGGTCCTGAATTTGGGTTTTTCACTGGGATTGCATTGTCTCTCTGGGTGCTGCGGTGTGCGGGATTGACGTTCTGATTTGGTGTAATGTGCTCATGTGTCCCCTAGGTGGTGATGGTGAGGCATACAGGGTCACCGCCCAGATGGTGCTGGTGTGCTGCTGGCGCAGCATGAAGGAGGTGTCCATGCTACTGGGGCAGGTGTGTCAGACCATGCCCCTGCAGGGCTCAGGGCCTGGTGTCGACAGCGTCATTACGGAGGAGCAGGTCTGTGCCCCCAGTCATCCCCCGTATTCCCTCCCTGCCCTCTCTCGAAGGCGTAGCACTTAAGTAGAAGCTGACATGTTTCCTTAAAAATAAACACGGCAGCCAGATGTTGCGCCGTTCGCAGTGTTTAGACTGCTAATGTGCTGAGTGATGCAACTGTGTGACCAGGTGACCTGTCTACTACCCTGTGGAAGGAAACGTCAGCACTTGCTGCAGATGCTGCCTGCGGGTGATTGAGGCACCTGATCAGCAGTCTGTACTGGGGGAGATGGTGATGCATTTCCTGTTTGTTTGGGCCCTGAGAATGCGGAGCGGGAGCCCCCACACCGCGCCGGCCTCCGCCCGCAGCTCTCCTCCTCAGACGCGCCCGGTGTTTAACTGTCCCTGCCGCTCCCACTTACACACATTCTTTCCAAATTGTTAACACTGTCCTTGTAAACCAGCACTTTGTCCTGCCCCCTTTCACTAACACTCCAGCCCCCCCCCGGCCTAGCAGGCAGATTAACTCTCAGTAGGAGAGGCTGAACAGCTCACCTCCCCCACCCTAAAATCATCAGACACTCGCAGGCTGGTTCCCTGGATGGTATAGGGGCATCCCCTCTAACCTGGAAGTTGTTCATTTTCGCAGGAAGTAGTTCATCCGGACTGCAGCCTCCATTGTCATTGGGGTAAATTTGACAGTGGTTCTTGACTTCCATCAGCTGGTAACCAGGAAGTCACCTTCTGGAAGAGGGGAGGAGGGGAGTATCTAGTCCTTTGGATATTGCCTCGGTTTCAGGTGGGGGGGGGGGGGGGGGGGTGTTGCTGGCTGATTCAGGACCAGGCCTAGAACAGAGTAGAAGTGATTTTCTTAGTCTTCCCTCTGTCACACATTCTGGCATCACTGTCCTGCTGGTCTCAAATGTATTTTATCCAGTCAGGTAGGTCTGTCATGTGACTAATGACACATGGAGTCAGTGGAGTGAATCTCTGTTGTGCTTGATGTCCTTCAGCAGGGCGTTGGGTGTCGTGGCACCACGGTTTTCTGAGCAACCTCCAGAGCATTGGACGCGAGTCCTTTGGTGTACTTGTTCTTCGACAACAGTCACCCAGATCCGGAAGCTTCTGGCTGCCGCTCCATGCTTCCCCGATAACGGACCCCCTCCCTCCCCCGGTACCTTGGCAGGAGGCTGAGGCAGATGCCATCTCTGGGGCCATGGCGTGTTCTTTTAAGGTCGTGCGACAGATCGACCTTTTGACCAAACGTCAGGAATGCACATTAAATGAAAAGCGCTATGAGGTGAAGGGTCTCCAGGCCACATTCTCCCCCACTCCAGGTCACTCTCTACTCCTGTGCTCCTCCTCTTTTTGGCCTTCTGCACTGACCTGAGCCCCAGGCTTCGGGCCTGCGCCAGCTCTGGCAGTTTCTGCCTCGCCTTCAGCCCCCGGTCGGTGCGGCCGTCCTTAGACGGCTCTCACCCAGTCCGCTGTGTTTTTACGGGAGGCTTAACTGGGCTGTGCTGCGCTCGGTATAGAGTCTTGCCCTGAACTTGGCCCTGCACAGAGGGACATGATGCTATATTTGGGGAATGTTGCGTGCGTGTTTATGACAGAGGACATCTTCCAAACGCGTGGCTTGAGCCTTTGCCTGTCCCGCGCCTGTTTGCTGCCACGTCGCCCCGGCAACCCGGCACATGTTTGGGCTCGCCGAGGCGCCATGGCAACAGAAACATTTAGTCACCCCACTTATTGTTTTTAATTCATTTTTCGTTATTACTCTGCGATGGGCACGGTGGTCTGTAAGGGCTGCTGCAATCACAGCTGGATGTGCCGCTTTTGGGTGTAGTGCTCTATCCCTTTATCTTGGGGGGCTAATTACGGGCATGTCAGACACTGGGGAAACCCCACCCACCCTAAACCTTACCTATCCATTTTTCAGGGGTGTCCAGCCCAGCATCTGCGACTTCCTGGACCCCTGTTTCTAGAAAGGGTGTATTAGCAGTGTGATCATACACCCAGTCCTCTGCGGGCCTGTGCTGAGTTTGGTTATCTGCCCTCGTCTGTCTGGCCATTTTGGAAGGACGGGAGCTTGAGATTTTATTTGAGGGGGGAGTAAACAGTTTGGATGTTTTACAAGCTGTTTCCACACTCCCCCCCCCCCCCCCCTGGCTGCATAGCTGGCGTTCTAATGTTCCTGGATGAAAATAGTGATTACATCAAACACCCTGTCCGCCCCCTGCCCTCGTTATACTCGAGCACAGGAAGGCTCCCGGCTGCCAAAGGTTCTCGCGTTTGTATCAAAGCGGATTACGGCTCTGAGGTCAGCCGAGGCTGCGGTGTTCCCTGGGCCAGCCGGGCACTGAAGGAGGCCCGGGGTAGATTAAGGCGGCTGGTTCGGCCTCCTCTAACGCACCGGCTCTACTGTGTTTCCAGCGCGAAGGGATTTTCATTCCCGAATTATTGCTTGACCTCGTTTATCCCGTATAGCAGCCCCTTCTGATACAGTCTGACAGCACTTCTTGAGGGCCAGAGACTCTCCAAATATTATGCTTTTTTTCCCCCAGTAATCGACGAGATGTCTGACTGGGTGAAGTAACAGCGACCAAATGAGCAGCGAGCAGAGACCAGAGCCTTTGTTAGCGGGATGATTTAGGTCACTAACGCCGAGGGTATGATTATCTGATTCCAGAGCTGGGAAACACTCTGCACGTGAGGATTCTGGGAAAGATCCCATGGCGTGAAGAGGCCTGTGTGCACGCCCCGGGGAGGGGGGGCCAACTCCGGCCAGTCCGCTTTACGCTCTCGCTGCTCAGCCCCACGTCTGCTGATGTTCCCGCTCGGACGTGCAGGCGGATTGGTCTGCGTCCGTTTTGCCTAAATAACAGCATGTAGTGTGCTGTCCTGTACCCCCCCAAGCTGCGTTATCCAGCACGGGACTCACTGGGGGGGTGGGCTTGATACTTGCGTCACCTGTTCTCCTCCAGTGATGTAATTTTTTTAAATGTATTTTATTTTAAAGTCTTATATTTACTCTGTTCCAGTGACATGTGTAAGTGTATAAGGCTGGAAATGAATGTGGCATCATTGCGGCTCTCTGAGGGACATATACGCCCTGATAGTGATGCCTGAAAGCCCTTTCTGGCTCCATCGCTGCAGTGACTGTGAAATCACCACATCTTCCTACGACCAAATTGTTAATTTGTTGTTTCCTACGGGCTGTGACTCGTCAGCCGGACACGTGGTTGTTTGCTTGTGCGGTTTGGGTCTGTGTTTTGCCTGAAGTGCCACTGGTGACGGCATGTGGGAGAGTAACCAGCGCTGATGCTCCTCTGTGTCTCTGGGCTGCCCAGGCGGAGGGGGTGGGCCGCTACTTCCGGGGGCAGCTGCTGCAGTCCCGGCATCGTGGGGCCTTCGAGCTGGCGTACGTGGGCTTCGTGCGGCTCACCGACGTGCTGTGCAGGTGAGCCCCCACGGGCCTGGGCCG